GGCAATTAAATATTCATTTATGTGTAAATTTATTACCATAATTGCAGGTAAGTCACGTAAATTTATGTTTTTAAAGAACAAGTAGGACCCCCCCCACCCCACCAAGCCCAATTTCCTAGAGGAAACACTGTTATCCCACTGTGTGTTGACCAAGCTAAAAGTAAAACCTTCAGGATGTATTACTCCTTCTTTAGAGGCTCATTATCCAGACTCAATGATGCCATATATTTCCAAAACAACCAGCAGAGTGACTTAAAGAGAAAACAGCTTTGTTCTACTAAAGCAGCAGAAATTCACTGAACCTTTAAAGCTCAGCAAATCAGAAACRTGTAAACTGTGCACATCACTACCTTTTCTAAACAGATTTATTGCTGTTTATTTGTACATTATCCAAATTCTAAAAAAATATAATAAGTCCATCAATTAAGCACAGCTCATCTGAACCAGGATCAACTCAAATAAAYGATAAATGAAGCTGTTTTAAGTTTTTACAACCTGATGCTCTGAAGAATAGAACCCAAAACATTTGAAACAAAAAAAACCTTTAGGTTTACTTGTCAATAATTAACTTTTTCTTTCACTTCTTTTCGTAAATAAATGATTACTGCAACACAGTTSCATGGTTAAAACAGGAATATGTTGCATTAAATCCAAAGAAATTACTTTTGTGACAGAAAAACTCAAATTTTGTAGAAAAAAAATACATGTTATTCTTCTGGCAAAAAAATAGTCARATACAAAAAGCTGGTCTTTAAAATTTTTATACTAAAGAGGAAATCTTACAGTTCGATCACTGCACAAAACAGGTATTTATCAAAATCATTAAACCTATATGTACACTTAACTTTATTTAAATGGAAGCTTAATTTTGACAGTTAAAATAATGCATCTGTTCATAAAAAAAGAGTCATATTTACCCGACCAATGCTCCCTCCAATCGTACTGTAATCTGATTCTGCATTTCTTCTGGTAACACAGCAGTTTGTGGATGATTTGCACACAGCGTCTGTGTGAGAAATAAGCACAAATAACTGTGATTAATACAGCTGGATGTGTGGACGAGTCACAGTGATGTATGTGTGTGTGTTTTTATGAGCTCACATATATAAATCCATGGGGAAATCCTTCATCATATGAGTGACAATAAACTCCACCATCAGGTCTACAGAGAGCAAAAGCAAAACATCAGAGCTGTCAGACAGATGAACCATCAWTTACCCTGTAATTTACTGGAATTTTATTTTTAAAGTGAGCTGAGTGGYGAAAATAAAGATCAGCTGAAACAAAAAATTATTTTCTTCAAATTTGAATTGATTCAGAAAAGCCAGTGACAGACATTCAGTTGTTTTATATATATGACTATGCATAAATATTATTGAACTTATGGACTAATAAACTCATTAAAAAGTACTGAAGATAAGATGTTAAGGTTCTCTGACCAAGATTTGTATAAAGATTTTTATACCTAGAACAGCACAGACCAGCCGGCGTGATGGGATGTTTTTCCCCACCGTCTTTTTTCTGTGTCTCATGGGCTGAAAGAGGTTGAAAATAAGAACAATTGTTATGATTGTCCACAATAAACAYGWATTTAGAGCAGTAGCTGGTCCTGATATTTATATTTAACTCTGGAACACACAGACAGCTGAATATTATAATCACAACATTATTACAGGATGACCAGAAACTGGTAGAAAAACGCTTTTCAATATAAAATCTCTGCACRCTTCTGTTTCTGTCAATAAGCCTCTTGATTTATTATAATTTGCTGCACACAATAAGAAACCTACCATTCTGTGGAGGGTGACTCTGAAGTTCATGTTGTCATCATGAAGAAAGGCATCAGCGTATTGATCCTGTCATAGAAACACAGATGTTCAGACTAAAGGAAAATATGAACAAATGTTTTATTATTTTTTTATTCTGGTGAGGCTCCCACCTCAGCTATACAGGTGAGGATGATCAGGCAAAGTCTGGCACTGTTGAGTCGATGCTCATCTGTTAAAAAACACAGTAGATACTAAAACATGACAGAAAAAAGAAAAGGAACAATGATCTKTGCTACTTCATGACAATAAAGCCTAGTTTTTGTAGAATTCTCTCTTGAAATGAGCATTTAAAACTCCACAATTAGACACTTTTTAAAAAACATGGCCGAGCAGACAGTAAACCAGTAAACTAATGTTTCTGTAGCAGAGGATTTCCTTCTCTGCAAACAATATCAATTCACTTGGATTATATGTTTCTAAAAAGGCTTTCAGCTTACCTTTAGTATCCTGCATTACAATGGAGGCATACTTGAGGAAGGTAATGAGAAGGTTGCTGGTCTGCAGGTTGGGATCCAGAGGCAGCTCTGGGTTGTTCATCACTACACAAGAAACGGTTTGTTAAAACTTTGTTGTGTGTTTTGTATTGATATTAAACAGATTTATAAAGAGGAAAAAGACTGTGCAGCTATAAACRGGCAAAAGTAATATATTTACTAACCAATAAAAGGTTTGTTTCATGAAAAAAAAGAAAAAAAAGATCATTTGTCCTCCTTAAACACTCATTTTGTTCCCTTCCTCCTCAGATCTGCAGGGTCAGAGGAAGGGATGGAAAAGGATTTATGACATTTAGTCACAACTTCATATTTGCATCTGGTCTAAAGAAAGAGCAGAAGAGCTGCGGCTCCAACAGTACAGCAGTAAGTCAGCCTGCAGGTGGCCTTTRCATCCGTGTCTGAAGCTAGAAGTAAATATTTTATTAAGGGAAAAAAGGCTTTTAGGTTAGAAGCAATGGAAGAGACAGAAACMCACAGCTTTTAATAGTTACAGCATGTGTGTACAAAAAAGTGSTCTTAAACCAGCAACACAAACCCAGAAAACAAGAAATGAAAATTATGAAGCGTTGCATTTGTTTAAACAAAAAATAGAATATGACAGGGTACTTTTTTCTTATGATGTTTGTAATTAGATAAACTATTTTAAGTGAACAGAAAAGCTCCTGTTTGCTTTCAGCGGCAGGTAAAACAAACACTAATGGCGACATACGTTGTTTCTTTAAAAATGCGACTTACTGTCTAGAGCGGGCGGTGTTGTTGGTGTCGTCGGAGTTGGGGTGGCGGGTGTGGCRGCGATGTCCATCTCAGGGTGGCTCTGTGGAGACAGCAGAAACATGAAAAAAAAATCCAAAATGTTCTGAGTTTTAATTGTTAGTTCTGCTTGAAAATACTGAATTGTAAGTACTGTTGCATTTCTCTGTGGTTCAATTCGTCGCCACATAAAATATTAACGCTCACCTGTGCTAACACGGTGATGAAGTTTCTGTTCAGGTGCACCGCTTCATAAAGCGCCAGCAGAATCGCCTCGTTCGTCCTTGAGATTTAAAAAAAAAGATGAATCAAGGTGAAAAAGTTATTAAAATCAATTATTATTTAAAAATTAAACCAAACAGCTGTACTTTTAGGTCAATTGCAAAGAACAAGTTAAAAGCTTTAAAAAATATGCAGCTCATTTTTTTGTTTTATCGATCATCAATGCATTGCTTGTTCCAATACATCAATTATTAAAGGTCTGATGATTACGAACACGCTGAATCTTTTGAACTCTTTAAAACGAACAATGTGAACGTGTCATTTTTTTCCATTGTTTCACACAGATGCAGACACACACTCCAGTTTTGTTATTCCACTGAGATGAAGAACAGATCAAGGGGAGGAGCACAGCAGTCGTCGTGAYTGGCGAACGTGTGTGCGCACGTAGGTAACGTATAACAAGCATTACGTCACTGGCTGTGTTATGTAACTAACCAATGAAAAAATGGCTCTTTGAATGGAACAGAACCTCAAGATTCAGCTCTCATCCTATTTCTATCAATTACATGTATTTGTGGGATGGACAGAGATTATTTTGCTTTTGCTATTGACAAGTTTTGAGCATCTGGTACCTTCTAGTGACGCCAATCAGGTGCCCGCTWTTCAAGATTCAAAGATTCAAAGTGTTTATTGTCATATACACAGATAAAAACGTTTCCCTGAGCAATGAAATTCTTACATTGCCGACCACTCTGAATGCCAGGAGGCAACCCCACGAAAAAGAATAAGCACTTAAAGGACACTAMCAAAGTWATAASGGATAAAGGATAAAAAAAGACCACACTTTGAACAAAAAAGAAAGAGACCAACCTAGAGATAATAACAGCAATACAGTGAGCAATACAGTACAATCAGTATTTAAAGTGCAAATGTGCAACAGGTAACAGTCTGAAATGTGCACATGTGCAGTAATAATAGTAACACTATAAGATKTATTGCCAAGAAGCATCGTTACGACAAAGAAATAATCTGCCAAACACAAATTTCCTCACGTTTTGTGCTACGTTTATTTGGATTATAATAACTCTTGCTTAAAAAAAATGCCTCAATATCTAGATAAGTTTGCAGGCACCAGCCGTCTTCTTGAATTTAGCCAAGCTAAAAGACTGAGTAAATCAGAATTAAATAATACCAGAACCAGACTAATACTAAAGAAAATATGGCCTATTTATGGGTACAAACATAACTTTAAACTTACTGTACGGAGAGTTTCTCATCAGCATCTGCTATAAACATGCTGCCCACCTGGGAGAAGGACAAAGATGTAAGAAACTTCACTGAAAACATTCAGAATATTAAATCATACAGCATCTTACCATACTAGTGAGAGTGGAGAAGAAACCTCCTTGGTTCTCTTCCTCTTTATCTTTATATTGCCTAAAAGATTAAAAATAAAACCAAGGTAAAGATGGAACGAACAGAAAATAATTTGTAATAGATAAAACCACACAACACAAAACCTTGAGATTAATACATTCATTTAGTTTTATTACTTGTCTTGTACCACAACACACATTCACAGAAAAACCTTTGCTGCTTCCAGTTTATTATCTAAAGAGCAATTCAGTTCATCCATAAAAACACGGAGCTGTGCGGAGCAATCATTCATCACTTTGATGTGTCTGTTTATACATTCAGACAGACGAGACCTCCTTTACAAACTAATCCTGAAAACATTAGAGACGGACAAAGAAAGCTGCCAGATATAAATAACTACATAAAGGCCTTGTTTTTTTTTCTCTCCCTCTCTTTCTTTTTCCCAGGAACAGAAATAGAACATCTGCAGTGGACCTCACACAAAAAACACTAAACTCAACATGAATGAAGACACTTTCTGATGCAGAGAAATGTAAAGATGTTACCTGTTATATTTTGCCAGAGCTTGGTGGACAACCATTCCCATTCCCTGGGTTGGGGGRAGCATCAGTGTTTATTAATCTAGTTAATGAGGTGGCATCTACTTTGTATTATGTCCCAATAAAAACACATGAAACAGCAGCACACTTACATCCAGTGTAGGCTCATCATCCACAATGGAGAGCTTCACAATGTAGGGATTTACAGACTAGAAACCAGAGAATATCACAGGTATTATTCAGTCACCATGATGTTATTCATCCCTGGATGTTCCATGGCTCTTTATACAGTAACAAGAGCCTTTCTGCTGCAAGGGATGAAGGTAAGAGACCTTTTATGGCCAATTTATCACCCACTTCGAAAGGCAATAATGTTATGACCATGTCTGTAGCATAAGCAAGATATCGCATGAGCCACTGGACAGATCTGAAAGAAACTATCACAAAGTAATCATGGGTTGTACATTTAGAACAAAATCACTTTTGGAGCCAACCTGATTAAAGATGGCCGTCACAGCTAATCTACATCACACCAAAATGTCTATAATTTAGTTTTTATAGATGATATAATATTAGGTGTGTTGGTAACAGAGAGTCATCCTCAA